CGGGGCTGCGCGGCGCCGGGAAGGGGCCGGCAGCCTTAGCAGCTCCGCAGCGGGAGGACGTCTGCCCACCTGCGTGCCCAGGTCAGGGGCGGCTTTGTGCTGCTTTGCTCTAGGGTAAAAATGGCCTCTCGACGGATCACACGGGAGACGTTTGATGCTGTAGTGCAGGACAAAGTTAAAAGGTACCGGATGGAGCGGAGCGATGCTATAGAAAACACCATCCATCACTTTAAAGGTAATGAAAACCTTGGCGTGATGTGCCCTGGATTGTAACAGCTGTTGTGGCAGTGCTCATCTTGCTTGCCTAAAGGAGGACCTGCAGTAATTTTTTTCCACGTCCTTTTGTATGTAAGAGGCTAACAGTTTGGTGTGACGGCCGCTGTTTCAACGTGGAATGTAAATTCCAAGGAAAAACTGAATTCCAAACACTGGAATTCTGTTCAGGCTGCCTCTGAGAGTGGGTCTGATTTCAGGGAGGTCTCTGGAGACAGCCTTGCAGAATGAAATTCTCCTGGTGCCTGATAAGTTAAAGAAATATAGGAGTGCATTCGGGGCCTTTGGGTCTCACTGTGTCATGTTATTTTTAGAGAAAGAAAAAGCTAAAAGCAAGAGACTAATCTGGTGAACGTGTGCAGTACGTGATCTGCAAATTCTTTTATCTTTTCTAAATTTTATGTTCAGAATATCTGGAGTAATCCTATGAATTGCATTCATAGCGCGTTGGGTTTTTTAAAATAAAACAATCTGTTCATATATCCTTTGTTTTCTGACTTCAGGTATTGGAATAAGGGAATGGGTGAGATTTCTGGCGATTTTGCAGGAATTCTGTAGTGTTTCTGTCTTTAATGTTGCAGAGGTAATTTCCTTCAAAAACTGCCCTGTTCTTTAAATCTCAGTGAACTGTGTATCAGTGGGTAGAAAAAAAAGCTCTTCTGCTCAGTTGTGCAAGTCTGACGTTCAGTATGAAAACAGAATGTGCATGTTTTCAGTATTTTTATATCTGAGAAGCCTGATTAGATCTTTGTTTCGAAGAAACTTTATGAACATGATATTTGAATCTTCCTAGGCTGAGAAAGTAGTGAGCGAGGGGAAAAAGGGGGTTGTAGCAGAACTTGTGTTTCTGCTTAAGCAGAAGCAGAAAAGGTTTTAATTCATTGTTTTGTCATGCATGTTTAGGCATATTTAATCCTTTGTTGATTTTGGTTATTATGAATTATTCTAGACATAAGAAAGCAAACAGGAGTATCCTAAAGTTAGACATAGATGCTGTACCTCAAAGTTGTGGAGTGTTGACTGTTCAAGTGTCTAAATGTGCTTATGAAATTTTTTCTTAATGCTACTTGCAGTGCAAGACATGTATTTAGGTCTTTATCGTTGCAGCTCATTCAAGGCCAGTCCCAAGACCGAGATATGAAGACAGTTTTCATGATGAGGGAAGATATACTCATGACGACACCCAACAGCATCCGCCTGATGACTGGAGTGAAGACCCTAGAGATGAGTATCCAGGACCTTCTTATAGATCTACTAGCCCTCTCATAAGGAAAGATAACTATTACCACGAACAGTATGGCCGCCCAGCGTCTCGCGACCGGGAGTATGGGCGCCCGGCTTCTCGCGACCGGGAATTTGGCCGCCCGGCAGCTCCCGACCGGGAGGATGGGCGCCCAGCTTCTCATGACAGGGAGTATGGGCGCCCGGCATCTCGAAACCGGGAGTATGGGCGCCCGGCTTCTCATGACCGGGAATATGGGCGCCCGGCTTCTCATGACCGGGAGTATGGGGGCCTGGCTTCTCACGACCAGGACTATGGCCATTCTGACCCCTGGGAGTCCGCCGGACCACACGAAACTGACTTTAGTTCTTCAGATATTTTAGGTGATTTTAGATCACCAGGACTCATGGAAGAGGAATACAGTAACATGGAAAGTCAGGAGTATACCATGGACTTTGGAATTCAATCTGACAGTGAGTTCAGGCCCCCGGTACGGAGGGGCACCATCGGCAGGGGAAGAGCTCTGCGAGGAAAACGTATTGCAAGGGGCGCTGCCAAAACTAAAGTATTCAAAGGGGATATCAAAACTCCTCCCCTAAAAAAATGGAACACTAAAAAGCTGCAACCAGAGCCCGAACAGAAGCCAGCTATGCAATCTGATCAAATGCCAGATACTGCTGAACATCCTAACCAGAGACCGATGACCATCCAGCGCCCTAATCAAAAGCTGCCTCCGCGACCTAATCAGAGACCAACTGTAACAACCCAGAGACCTATCCTCAGGCTTCCAAAGCCTGCGCACGTTTTCAGAAATCTCAGTTTTGACCTCGTGGACAAATCTGACATTTTTTCAACATTTGGAATAGAAATCATAAAATGGGCTGGATTTCATGCAATAAAAAATGATGCAGAATTTTCCCGGCTCTTTGGAGCTCTCTTTGAGCTAGAAACAGAAACCTGTGCAAAAATGCTTGCTTCGTTCAAATGCTCACTAAAGCCAGAACACAGAGATTATTGTTTCTTTACCATCAAGAGTTTACAACATGCTGCTCTGAAAACTCCCAAAGTGGACAATGAGTTTTTAAATATGCTATTGGACAAGGGTGCTGTGAAAACAAAGAACTGCTTCTTTGAAATAATAAAACCTTTTGATAAATACATAATGAGGCTCCAAGACCGTCTACTAAAAGGTGTTACCCCTCTGCTTATGGCCTGCAATGCTTACGAATTAAGCATTAAGACAAGTGGTTTCAGTAATCCCAGAGAAATGGCAAATGCTTTTGAGACCACTGTTTCTCTTTGTCGTAAGTCTTTAGCACTTCTGGGTCAGACCTTTGCATTAGCATCTGTTTTCAGGCAAGAGAAAATACTGGAAGCTGTAGGGCTCCAGGAAATGGCTCCAGCACCAACATTATTCCCAAATTTTGATGATTCAACATTGTTTGGAAGAGAGTACATAGAAAATTTGAAGGCTTGGTTGGAGAAAAGTGGATATCCAATTCAGATGAAAAAAGCTGAACCGGATTCCACAGTACAGCTTAAAAAGCCCTCTCCTGACACAAAAATTAAGAGTAAGTGGAATGCTATAAGATACTTTTCCAGTACATAGTTTCTTTATTTTTCACTAGGATTTTAGCTCAAATTTTCATGACTTCGTTAGGCAGGAATTCTTAATGCTGGAAATGCCATGTAAATCCCTGGCAGTGGTGTGGCATGCAATACTATCTGTTATAGCAGTAGCTTTCAGCTCTATGCCAAGCTGTGCAGATGGAAGCATCTCTCCTTCCTCCCCTCTACTGCATGTACTTATACTTCAAATTTGGAATTTTCACCTTGTGCTCTTGGCTGCTTCAGCTGTCCCACCATCCAATGTCACAGCCTTGAGTTAGGGAGCCCAGGACCACATCTGCACATCACGGCCTATCAACTAAGTGGCCATTTGGCTAAGTTACAGAATAAGTGTTTCCAAGTAAGCAAAGCAGTGAGATGTTACCAGTACCGCTTTTACCAGATGCAGGCATATTTCTTCAAAGTTGTTTATATACTACTATCTTCAGGAAAACTACCTTCTTTACAATATTAGGCCACCTAGTTGATCCTCTCGAAAGTATGCTTATTCATGACTATAGTCATCTTTTTCTTCCTATTTGAACTTCAGCTACTTCAGCAGTGAGGTTTTACAGGAGTGACACTGAGTGGCTAATAATTTGCAACTTACCCTTTTGAAGTAGGGTTCAAATATATTTACTTTACACAAATTCCTTTCGGTGCTATAATTACCATTTAAAAGATGACTTGTCTTGCCCAGCATGGTAAAGGATGAGTTTCTTAAGCCACAGTGCTTCTCATGATGAACTGTGCTAGCTCTAAGGCGAGTGGAGAAAACAATCAAAGTTTCTGAGGTTTCCTTAATTTATTCTAATATTAAATGCAGTCTTTTTTTGTGTTGATATGTCAAAAATTGTGAATGTCATGTTGTCAGTAGAAAGAGGATTGACACCCTGTTGATGAGAATAATGAAATGATTCTGTTTTATTTCTTCTTACAGTCCCACAGCGAGCTGATCGGAAAGTTGTAGAGACAATTGAAAAGCTAGTGGATAGCATTATTTCAGGAACCTTGTCTGCCAAAGAGAGAAACGCTCAAAAGAACTGCCCTGAATATTGGTAGGCATGTTTGTGCAATTGGAACAGTATGTCGTAATACTACTTTGCTCTGCTCCACTGAAGATACTTAGAATTTTAATATTTCACTCTGTGGGTGTAAGATCAAAGCCTATGGTATATTTCACCTGAGTATTTGAAAATGCTTCCAAAGCTAATTAATTATACTTCTTAATATCCCTGGAAATTGTCCTGTTGCTTCTGTTTTGTGTAGTAGACCACGTTCCTTTTGATCTGTCAATAATGACTGTAAGTCAATCCAAATATAGGAAGTTAAAAGCAATCTACATTTACAAAGTAGAAACACTAAGCAAATACAGTTTATATATATATATGTATTAATGTAACAGACCTATGGGTCTGGCGTTCTACAAATAATGCTGGAAAAAGAAAGCTGAGACGCTCCAAATGTAGTGATCTTTTAATATGGCAGCATGTCTCTATGTGCAAATTGCAGCATAGCTGATTAATTATTAGCCGTATAATTTACATTAAAACCCTCTGTCATTTGCTTGCTTGACATGATTTATCTTTACTTATTGCTTTAGAAATGGAGTTGCCTTTTATTCTGAGGAAAAACCGATGCAGGTGATTGTTAGTGCAGTGACCTGAGTATACCCCTCAGAAATGATCAATTGTTACTAAGTTTCTGATATGAGAATTTGAGATTAGTTGTGCTTTTGGCTTAGGCTTTCATTTTATTTATAACCTTTTTATTTAGGTTCTTGTCTGAAGAAGATAGTCTAGAATACAAATATTACAGACTGAAATTATCAGAGATGCAAAGGCGAACATCATCTGGAAAGGAAGCAGGCAGTGAAGGCAGAACGCTAGAAGAATCTGCAGCAGAATCGGTCAGGGCCATGTTGTATGCCAGGAAAGTAGCAAGTATTAAGAGAAGACTATTTAAAAGAAAAAGGCTCGGAATTGTTGCGCCATGTGGACTTCAAGGAAGGAAGGTGAGGAGGGCAACAATAGGGACACAGACTGTGCTGTCAGCTGGTACAATGCTGAAACGCCAGGAGAAGCACATCCAAGGTTCAGTCCAGCCAAAGCCTTCTGTATCAGAAACCAATGTGGCTGAAAAGAATTCTTCCTTGGATACAACTGGCTCCTCACAATGTGCCGCCAGTCCAGGAGTCTCTCTGCCAGCAGAAGAAGGGGCAGATTCTGAGGATTTATTGGCACCGCCTGAACTTTTCCCACCGTTGTCCTGTCAGTTTCCTGATGGTAAGTAAAGATGCAAGATTAGACTTCAAAATGATATGAGGAAAGAATTACGATTCTATAGAATGTTCTACTGGAAATTCTAATCTTTATTTATTTTGCTAGTGTAGATAGAGTTTTCAGCTTGACTGGATTGACATTCCAGCACTGTAGGCTTTGCATGAACGTTCTGTTTTTTGCAGTGGATGCTAAAACAATGGAAACTGCTGAGAAGCTGGCCAAGTTTGTTGCTCAGGTAGGACCAGAAATTGAGCAGTTCAGCATAGACAACAGTGCAGATAACCCGGACCTTTGGTGAGTAACCTACACGTTCCTCTATGCAGAACTGGCCAATGAGAAAAATTGAAGTATATCTGAACAATTATTGAAGAGATGTTTCCTTTTATGATTTGTTTTAGCCCTCTTTGTCTATCTTGTGGTCGCTTAGAGATGCATGCTTTTATTTAATGTGTTTGGGAACATGGGATTTTGAGCACTACTCCCTGTTCTCCCGCTCAGCACCTTTGTTCATGGTCAATATCTGAAACATCTAAGAAAGATGAACGTTCCTCCCAAATGCACACGTGTACTGAAATACGTTTTTTTTTTCTCTTCTATCCTAAGTCATCAGCTTGTGTCCTGAAACAGTGTTCTGACAAAGTATTTTCCAACCTTGTTAATTTTTTCTTTTAAATGAGGCTTTAAATACAGTGCCCCTGAGTGCTCTCATGTAAATTAGCAGAAGTTTTTCATTTTTAGTGGTACTGTGCAAACAGAAATGGAGCCCTGCTACCTCTTCCATCTTCTTCAGAATCAGTAAACCTCTTTCCGCATAGACCACTTGACTGAAATTTGGAAGACCTGAGTCGTCTCCTGGGGTTAGCTGTTTGTCTGCAGGGCGATCTCGGACTAGCATGTTGTCTTTGTCTTAGTCTCCCCATCTATATAACGAAGATAATCGCATTGATATCTTTTTCCAAAACAGTTTGAGAACTGCTGATGAATATTGCTCTATAAGATTAGAGGAGAGGGATTGCTGGGTTTAGTACCTGTTGCAGGGGAATTCTACAGTGCTTCAAAACATCACTAGAATGACCCTTCAAAAATGAATAAGAGATTTATTTCTAGTATCTTGCTTCATGCCAGGTAAGAAAATCTGTTTTTGACATTATTTTCACTGTAATTTTTGCCCAGGTTTCTACAGGATCGAAATAGTTCTGCTTTCAAATTTTACCGAATGAAAGTCTATGAGTTATGTCCATCCATTAACTTCAGTGCCGTGTCAGAAACAACTGAGGCTGAGGAATGTACTAAACCTGAAGAGAGAAATCTGGATATTTCAGAAGAGGAGGAGGAGGAAGATGAAGAGGAGGAGGAAGAAGATAATGAGGAGGAAGCTGAGTTTGAAGAGGATATCTCCCGACCTTTGGAAGAGATTGAAATGGAAATGGAGCAAGCAGAGGAGGGAGAAGAGGAGGACTTCTCAGCAGGTAGAAGTGAGGAGAACCTCGCTGAAGAGATGATTTCCAAAGCAGGAGAGGAAATTTCAACAGGTGAAATGCAGCTAGCCACATCATCTGATGGTACTATACCAAATCTGTCAACACAGGCATCGATTCCTGCTCCTGGTACCCTCTTTCCTCGCAAACGAATCAGCAGCAAGTCACTGAAAGTTGGTATGATTCCTGCCTCTAAAAGGATATGTCTCATAGAAGAACCAAAAGGTGAATGTTATTTGAAATATATTTTGTACATATCAACAGGAAATTCCTGTAGTTCTCTGCGTTTTGCAGTTTGTTACTGATTGTTACTGGCTGAAAAAATTACATCTCTTTAATACAAAACTGAATATGCTGTTCATTTAAAATGTTCATTCAATTGGCACAGGAAAATCTAAATAATTGCATAACAGCTTATATATTCTAGTGCAATAGCGAAGTTTGGCGTCTAGTTTGAGAATAACCTCTGTCAAACATCATTCCTAAAATATTCTCTATGTAAATGTTATCCTTTCTCTGCTGCTTAATAAAAATAGTAGTGGTTTTGGGGGCATTTATTTGATCAGTGCATGGCAGGTTGAAACAGTCTTAAGCCTAGAAGTGAACATATTTTAAATGTTTGACTACTTTGAATATATTTAGATTAAAAAGCTGTAATCCAGAGCTACTTTGGTTGCACCCATCAAATTTTGTCAACACAGCAATGGGAGGGGGGAGGGGGGTGGATGGCTTGCGTGATTGTGGCACGATGTTTTAAGACTTGAGAGACAAGTAGCCTTAAAACTTATTACTGCATGAGCCCTGCAGCTACTTTAGCAAATGTCTTTTATCTGCATAATGATGTTTATTGGTAAATGTTACTTGTGTTATGAAAATAATGTACAATAGCCTCATTTAAGTCCAGTGTGAATTTTCTGTCAGAGCATTACAGAAGTTCAAGGAAATGAAAGATATGAAGTTCTTACAGAATGTCATCCACCGGTGTATAGCTGGCATGATATGTCCAGAACTAAATAGAATGCTGCATGTACGTTTTGTTTTAAAAGGGAAGGCTGGTACTAATTCCTTTTTTTGTCATTGAGGAAAAAAAAACCCTCAATCTTGTTTTCATTCTGATCTTTCTTGGTGGCACTGGTTTTAGACTAAGGCATTGAATTAGAGTCCCACTTCAATATGTATTTTTGGAGTTCTGCATTAAACTTGGTTGTCTTTACAGCCGAATTTTGTCTTTGATTTGACTTGCAGTTCATGAACCTGTCAGAATCGCTTATGATAGGCCTCGTGGTTGCCCAGTTACAAAGAAGAAGAAGGTAAAGAACTCTTCTGGCTTGCCATTGCATTCTGAGAATCAATTGTCTTTAAAAGAGACAGCTTCTGTAAATTAATCATTGTCTTAAAATCAACTAAAACCTGAAGAGCTTGATCTTGGAAAAGACTGGACTAAATCTTGAGGGGAGCCATGGCTCCAGTTGTCTCTTACTATCTGTGTCAAAATTAAAAAACATTTTAAGATTAGAGCCTTACTGAACAACGATGTATTAATCTTGTCCTCTCTTAACAAAAAAAAAAAAAAAGAAGCTACATTTATCACTAAGCAGTGAAAACCATTTGGCAGGAGGTAAGGTACTGTGTGAACTATTTTTTGCTTATTTACCTGTGGTAAGATCTCTTGATGGATAAACTGGGTTTTGCTTTTTTTTTTTTTGCTTTTTTTTTCTTTTTTTGAAAAGAAATCGGTGCATTGCTGTCTGGCAAAACGTTAAAATTTTCCAAAATCGGTAAAAAGCTACTGGACCACTTCTGTATTTGTAATAGTGAGTCAGTCATCAGATCATGCAGTATTTGTTATTAAAAACATAGCTACCTTTTAAAATATAAAAGTGTACTCTTTGCTATTTTAATAATGTAATTAAACAATTTGAGAAGTTGAAATATATTTGTTAATACGCTTTAAACTGGCCAAGGAGACGTTTACTCTTTGATAGACTTTTCCTGTGTGGATAGAGAAATGCTGCTTAAAAGATATTTCTGGATATCCAGAAATTTAAACACCGTTAATTTACTTTTTTTTAATTTTGGAGGAATTTAAATACATGGTCTCTCACTGTAACAGAAAGCCCACCCTCGTTTCTCTGTTTGTTTGTTTGTTTTTCTCTCCACAGAAGCCTAAAGATTTAGAATTTTCACACAAGAAACTGACAAACAAAAACGTGGGTTTCCAGATGCTTCAGAAGATGGGCTGGCAAGAAGGACATGGCCTTGGTACACGAGGAAAAGGAATCAGAGAGCCTGTAAAAGTGTATGTAATGGGAACAAACTGCAGAAATTTGACAGCTGTGGAAAAGGCTGGGATTATAGTAGTAACTGTGGGTATCTAACCTACCTGGATGTGGCCATTTCAGGGTTTTGTTTCCTTCTTGATCTCTGGCCTCAGTAAAGTTGAGCATGCAGACTTCACACGTTTCCTGGCTAAACTGGGCAAAGTATGGTCTAGAAGGTGGCTGTCCAATTTGACATCTGAAGGCTGCAGTGTGAATGCTGCAGCGTGCGGATGCTTTCTAAAGGTATATGGGTGTCCCCCTCCTTCAGGAGATTTGGGGGGAGGGGGGTTGTTTTTTTAACACATAGTATTACCCCAGGGATCTTCTTGCTACAATGATAGGTACATAATAAATAATGGATAAACAGACTTTAGAAGTATCATACACAGTACTTCTAAGTTTAGGCAACCAAATCATTTTCACTAGAAATACGTGATTCGTTCCACTGCATACTGAAAGAGGTAAGTGCATCTGCCAGAAGGTAAGCGTGCTTTTTTCTTTAGGACATACTTTATTTTTGAATCTCGGTTTTGTCTTTTAAAGCTGTTGTGACCAGTGTCCACTGCTGCCAGCACAGAGAATGGATATTAAGTCCTTCCACTCCCTGACAGAATGAGGAGGCAGAAACAATTTATTTCTCTTTGAACCCATATGACAAGCTCTCTAGGCCATGCAAGTAGTTTGTAGGCGAACTGTCTACTTTCTCTAAGGTTTTCCATTTTCTCTTCATGCCTTGGGCAGTACTGATCTTTTTAGTTTGTGGGATACTTCTAGTTGTTTGCCTTCCCCCCCCCCGCCCTGCTTAGGGCACCTTGTGATCCAGTAGCCATCACTATAGTTTGCATATTTCTTTCTTCAGCAGCAAATGTGCAATGAGAAAGCTACCTCGCCTGTAGCTCTCTTGCATTCACCAGTGTTGGAATTCTTGTTCTTCACCCCAAAACACTTGCTGAGACCAAAGATTAGAGTAACTTTTTGGCTGCTATAGCTTCTGGCACAGGTCTCACTGCACAGCTAATAATAAGCTATTGCTTGTATCTGGTCTGACAGTTAGCCCACAGCATTCTAAGTTTATGACCTTACTCTAAGAACTGTATTTTTAATACGTGAAAACACACTTTTTCCAACTTAAGTCCATCGCTGTGTCACTCTTGTAAAGAGTGCTGCAAAGAGCAGTGAAGATCTGTTTTCTGTAACTCTTAAAAAACTTGTTGACCTTTTCTGTAGAAAGAGTTATCTAAATAACTCTATCATTGACTGCTTTCACAGCTTGCGCTTCTCTTTACTTTCCCATCAAAGTCATTCTTTGGACAATACTTTGAGACAATCTCAGTGAGGATGAAAGGAGTGCAACTTAACATTTTGCTTTCTTTTGTTAGTTGCTTTGAAACAATGCAGGCTTTTTCACTTAATAATCTACAGTCTCCACTCTTTCTTCCCCTTTTTAAAATTACCAGCTCTTCTATTGATGACTTGTTTACAAGTCTACATGTTGTTTAATATTCTCTGAAGAAAGGGGCTGGATTAATAATTGGAGACACTTCAACATCAGAGTAGAACGTCTTTGGATCATTAGCATACAGCACTGGTCTCTAGAGCTGGTAGAATCAAGTACCTCAGTTGTTATACATTGAAACTTGAGGTCCTTTTTTATTAAGAAAGCTTAAGGCTTTAAGGCTGAGAAAACAAGTCATATTTGGAGGTTTGAGGAGATTTTTAGTTTACCATAAAAAGATACATGGGATGCATGGTGTCTCTTGATGGAAATTATGGCTCCAGAAAATTCTCAGTGGAGTTTCGTTAGTCTTGTTTTGCCTCAGTTGTTATACATTGAAACTTGAGGTCCTTTTTTATTAAGAAAGCTTAAGGCTTTAAGGCTGAGAAAACAAGTCATATTTGGAGGTTTGAGGAGATTTTTAGTTTACCATAAAAAGATACATGGGATGCATGGTGTCTCTTGATGGAAATTATGGCTCCAGAAAATTCTCAGTGGAGTTTCGTTAGTCTTGTTTTGCTTTTTTTATCTCCTAAGAACTTAACTGTCACAACTATGGGCCTGACGAATTCTGCAGCTGAAGAGAGCTTTAAAAACATCAAACACCCCCCCCCGCCCCCGCACACACACACACACCCTCGAAGGACAGATTCTCTTGAGTAATTATGTGATGTCTTCGATTAGTACTTTTATTCTGAAAGTAACCTAGAAGGGGAACTGTAGCGTAAGTATCAAAAAATCTGTTCTTCCTATTTGTAAGTATTAAGCACCCATTGTACAATGGAAATGGCAAATGAAAAGTCTCTCCTTCAAATAGTTCATACTTGAAAATTTGAAAAACAAAAGACAGCATTTAGAGGTCTAAATAGATGATTTAACAATGTATATATGTAAGATGTTTGTTATTTTTGGAATCTGTGGAATTTTCTTTAAGCAGACCTTTAGTGCAGAGAGCATATAACTCCATGTGGGAACCACAGGCATGCATTAAACTGAGGAAACCACAAGATCTGTTAGGTGGCTTTACTTCTGAGTGTACCCTAAAATGGGACTTAACTTGATCATACAGCTGCCAAGGCAGACTCTAATACCATTCACAAGAAAAACAGCATCCAGGGTTTCTGTTGTAGACTGCAAACTTGAGTTTGCCTTTCAAGAGTCTGCAAATATTCTTCTAGAACTGCACAGCAATCTACTTGGCTGAAGTAGACAGGTCATTACAGTAATTGGATAAGAACCATTTCTGTCTGTACTGCTTAAGGTTCTCTGATTTTACCCTGATGGCAGAGCAATCCCAATTTCAGTACACTGGGCAAGCTGAAATTTTTTGTTACTTCACATAGTAAAATCTTTAAAAGATAATACTAATGTAACTGACTGGCGGATAAAACTTACATGGGGCATCATCCCTATGGCAAAGATGTCATTAATCTTAGCTGCATAAAGGGTATGGTCTATGCACGTAACCTGGAGAAAGAGAGATGGCTTTTAATATTCTGTATCTCACCATTCTTGTGGATCATCCTTTCCCATCTCCTTCCAGGTTAAAAAGTTGTTTTGATTTTGCTGAAGCCCATCTGCTTCTGTTGCCATATTTGGATGAAGAGAGATGAGTTAATGACTTAATGACTTGCTTTTCTTGGGAGGGCAGGAGCTGCAGGTTTTTTCTGTTGTGTAGGTCCTGCAAGACCTCAACTTGCTGGAAGTTTTAAGTAAGCAGCATTATGTTCCTTTGCTAAAGATCTCATCTTTTATCCAGCCTTATGTGGTGTTTCCTGCTCATTCCTCAAAGACTCTGACGTAGTCATTTTTAAGATTGAAGAAACATGGCATTTTTTGCCATCTTTTCAACAGAGGATTCTGCTTACCGTGAATAAAGTGGTTACTACAAGAGTTCATGTAAGAATTTGATCTGTTAGATGACTGTATCTTCACTCCTCCCTTACCATCATGGGAGCGTTTTCTTCTAGTGGATGTTTGCATGTGTGATGGGAGATGGGAATTGTTTTACAGTGATATGGTATGCCAAGGACCAAACCTCTGCTCTCCTTCCCCGCTGCAGTAAACAGAATTACATTCCATTCAAATTGTGTCTATGTTAGAAGCTATTGTTTAGATCTCTTCTGTACATTGTCAAATGTAACAGAAACAGAGTGTTCTAACTATTCATTTTACTCCCTAGGGGTGCTACCTCTGCAGGGGAGGGCTTGGGTGTTGCAGGGGAAGAAAATAAAGAAGATGCATTTGATGTTTTCCGTCAAAGAATGATACAAATGTACAGGCAGAAAAGAGCAAGTAAATAGGTATGTGCAATAGACAAGTCTGGTTTATGAATTCCTACAAACATTAAAATGCCAGGGTTTTTTAAGTCTTCCTTTACCAAGAAAATAATACTGTTTCCATGAGTATATCTGGCTTCTTACTTTTCATGAAAATCCAGACCTACTTTGAACTACTGAATTACCCCCAAATCTTACTTTCTAGGTTTGACATAAGAGACTCGCTCACTAGAAAGTGCACGGATATGCAAAGGCTGCTTGCTGTGTGAAAGATCTTCAGCAGAGTATGCCAGTATGAAGAACGCTTTGTTCTATAGTAGCGGACTTGAATACTAATGTATGAAAACATTTTCCAAGATTAAAGTTAGTCTTGCATTTAATTGTGCAAGCTAACAACTTGGATGTGATCTTCTGAGGAAGAAACAACTGCTTTGTTCTCGGAAGTGCCTGTTTACCTCTCTCTTTGGCCAAGTTTGCCTGTTACGTGATGAGATGGCTTTCTCCAAACAGAATAAGCAACATTAAAAGTGTGACTAGCCTGCTTCAGCTCTGTTCCTTTCTGAAGCCAAGACCCTTCTCAAATTCAGATCTTACTGCAAGGCAGTTCAGTTTTTATTTTACTAAATTTTGTTGATGGGCTAATCTTTTGATCTACTTCTGGAGTCTGTGGAAAGCAGAGTCCTTTCCTCCATACAGCAATTTTAAGAACAGTCTCTACTTGCATGCTTATTTTATATAGGATTCTCGGCTTTAAGTGTAGGATGGATAACAGTTCATCCAAGTTTGAGAACACTAAACTCTTACTTGAAAACCTCAGCTGCGAAGTTTTTTCATTGCAATGAACAAACATATTTTAAGTGTACTTTTTGTTTTTACACAACTTTGCAGCTCTTGTCCAACAAATTCTTGACTAATTTCTTTCCTTCTCAAAGAAGTTTAAGCCATGAAGAGATGTAATTCATGTGTCTGCAGAAAATACTGAAGAAACTACTTGGAAATCAGATGTTCAGAAATCATCTGGAAGTGGATCATCAGTCGTATAAGACCATCAGTTTAGAGAGTTATTTCTGTTTCTATTAAATATTTGCTTTGCAGAAGTTCTTTTATTGAATAAATCCCAAGAAATAAGACAAAAAGCTTGTAATTTTAAGGGATTATTCTAGAATTTACTGAAAGAAGATTGGAGTGATCTACTCTGCTTCAATAAAAAAGCATTACCTAACTTCCTGGTGAAGAAGTTCTGAAGAAATGAAAGATTTAGCAGTGTTACTACAGATAAACGTTCAAGGGCTGATCATTCATCTTTTTCAGACTTGCGTATCAATAAGGGATCTGACTGGATTACTTAAAGTGACAATTTAATATCTTACTTTTTAGCATACTCCTCCTCTATCATTACCTTTCTAAAACTAGTCGAAAGTCTTCAGTGAAGCGTTACTCTAACGTTCAACTGAAGTTCTCTCTTTAAAGAGAGTTTATCTTCAGCTGACGCATGTTTTGCTTACTAGGAGTGAGTGCTGTCTTGCTGATGTTTTCATCCTGCACCATGCTTCTTGGAAAGCAAAGAGCTTGTGGTACACCACTAATAGCACCCCACGGTAATGTGGCAGCATCTCAAGTTCCTAACTGATGATATGCAAAAAAAATGCATTCAGTTATCAACTTGCCTGTGCCTGCTGTTTAAAGGACAAAATGGTGTTCTCTCTCCGTTTAAAAACTCTGCTCATGAAAGGGAATGTCTTATTTTCATTCTGTAGCAACAAACTTTTCCTTGCCTGTAACAATCGATTTTAGTTTGTGAATGCAAGAATTTTCTTTGCTGTGTGCATTTATGAAACCAAAAGCTGCAATATCATGTCACAGTATAATTTTCTGATCGCTCAGTTTTACTTGCTTTGAAGCACGTGATCACTAAATAAAACCATAATGGCAGGTATAGAAAAATGTCATGCTGATAGTTCTGTTTTTCCGTGAACGTATGTGTCTTCACCTTTACGTTACAAGAAGTTGAAGCATCAAGACCATAAATACAGATATGTTTCTCAAGGTTTATCTGGTTATCGCGCTTGATCAGTCCCGAGATTTCTCATAGGCTTGGCTTGGAGCTATCTTAAATCCATGAATGTTTTGGACCACGGGCTACTTTTAAGATCATCTATTACAGTACTTGGCAGTGTATGCTTACCTGTTAAATTCCTATTTGGATATGCTCTCCACTGCCTCTCTTTGCTTTCCTGTGCCTGTTTAGCAGCTACACAGTGAAAAACTTAGGCCTTTCAAAAAGGAGATCTGTCAGTCACAGTCTGTTTCAGAATGATACTCTGGAACCAGTACTGTTGGCCGCAGAGTTATTTCACAGACCCACTCATAAGAATTTAGCTTTCCTTTTAGTCTCATTGATGAAGCTGACAGTGTTGCTGTTCATAATTTTTTACTTCCCTGCAAACTTCCAGTTCACCTCTTCTTTCACATTCACATTTGGGAAGCATTCTTGATTGTATGCTACGCCATTTGCAGAAAGGCACAAGGCAACGTGTTGTTTCACGCTACATTGAAATCCACTTTTTCAGACCCTGATCAGCATTCTGCGCTGTTCTGGTTTAACCTGAGATTGTTGAGCGTAGTACCATTTGGGGTGCATTTGCTAAACACCTACTTCCCAATCTGGGAAAATTGTTGGTATCCAGATTGGAAAATGGTACCTTCCTTTCTGATTGCAGTTCAATTTAGAGTATAATGCTGTCTTGAAAATAAAGACGAACATTGGGAAAATCTCAACCTGCTACCCCGGATGACTGTAGTATGGTCTATCGTTCTTGTGCCAAACTTTAATTTTGGACAAGATAGCAGTAGAGCAGCACTGGTGCTGAGATTCCAGTGTTGCTCTCAAGTGGGTTACCGTTTGCCACTTTTATCTTGTTTTACCAAGAGATGACCTTACACTCCTTTTGCAAAAGGAATTTCCTTTTATTTTGACCTGCTTTTGCAGGCAGCTCTGATTTGAAAATTTAAATACATGTACATGTGAAACATTTGTTATGCAGATACATTGCCTTGTTTAAAGTTTACTAGCTTCTTTTCTGTTATTTTAGTTCCAGGCTCTCTTCCATGAAGACTGCAAGCTTCAGTGAACATTTTAACTAACTTCAGTGGTGTGTCTACTGTCTTTTGGTTGTTTTTTGCCATTAATCTTGTAGAGCAATTTGCTAGTTTTTGTTCCGTGCAAATTGGCAGTAGTGCTAAGCTAGTAACAATTAGATGCTTATGTTATTGGATAACTGACATTTCTTTTTAGTGTAAGTAAACATGTTAGCATTGTTAATCTTTTAATATCTGCAATAAATGTAGAACTAAACAATTTCTGGTTTAAATGTTTTGCTTGTGAATTTGGCCCTTTGTGAGAGATATGCATCGTTTTGGCACTAATAAGTGGAATTGAGATTATGCAGTGTTATTTTAGTGTAAAGCAGGATTTTATAGTGTGTGAGGGAAGGAAGGTCCCTCTGTTTCTATGCTGCTAAATGGTTTCTGTACAGAATACCCATTAAATCATTTCTTAGTTACTTTTTCATGGGTTCCAGTGCATGAAACCCATGCACAACAGTGTTACGTGCAACATGAATGCCAAAACCATTGTGCTCCAGTCAAAATGCAAGTTTTGCCCTTTACTTACGTGTCTGAGGAATTGTGTCTCTGATTTTCTCAGTGCCCTGAGTTTAAGACAGCAACACTTTCTCTTTTACATGTACGTGTGGTTTACTGTTGCCTTTAAATTCAAATTCTTTTTTAGAAAGGATGCGAGGGGAAACATTGCAACAAACTGAAATTTGACATGTGTTCAGCAGCCTTCCATTGAGAGGTAAAGTGAGAGTGTTCATTTACTGAAGATGCAAGCCAGGTTTCTTGTCCCTTCCTTTTATTCTGACAGCTATAGCAAGCATTACTGAGACAAGTTCAAGCCCTAGCTATACCATTTTTTCTTCCTTTTCCCTCAGAAATTTACTAAATGTTAAGGACCTGGTTCTAGAAGAAAGGAAGTTTGCTCTCATGGGATAGAAATGAGGCGATCCCCAATTTGGGGGAGGTGCCCTAATGGAGTAAAAGAACTACAGTCATAGTATTTTTACAGTGGAGTAATTGTGTTGGACTAATACAGATGTTCTCGTTCTTTTGCTTTCAGAGATTGTTGTTGTGATACCAATGACATTTTTCCTATTTATTTTTTTTACAAAACACTACAGCATCCTTCGTGTGAACACTTAATCTGTGCTATCATTTCTCAGAATCAATGTGCAGTATTTTTTTCTATTGATATTTCTTTCTATACGTCCTCTGTTCTTGTGCCCAAAGAAAGTCTGGACTCTTAAATTCAAATACTGATACTTTGGATTGTTTTCTGTCCTGTAAGTAGGTATACTTTATAATTCAAAATGAATTTCTGGAAGTCTTGTACCATCTTTCATTCTGCATATCTCACGACTGAGTGGCCAATCACAACCAGACTGTACGTTTGAGCAATAATAAACACCTAAATGAGAACATGCTCAAAGAACAATAGGGTACTCCGGAAATAAATAGTTTTTGTGAACCGTGTTGAGTAGGTAACTTGCTGAATTACAGCAAGTGTGGAAAATGTTTGCATTATCTGTGGGCAATAAAGTTACTGCTGTTTAAGAAAGTGCTAGCACGCAGTGTGTTCTCTTCAGCTTTTTGTGCCTGCTTCATGTTGTTAGAAGGTTCTGCTAATTTCCTTGAACGTTTCTTCCAAGGGCAGAGCCCTTGCTCTGAAGGGCCACGGGTTAGTTAAAGCCAACTTGTATTTCGTTACCCTGTCACTGGGTAGCGAAGTAGCAGTGAAGCACAAAATACGAAGCAAGAAAGTCTTATTTTTAAAACGGCTCTTTGGCTGAAGTTAATTATAGGATATTTAATTTGTGGGGTTAACAAAAGTTCCTGTCTTTGAACAGTTTTCAAGGCCTCTTTTAGAAACCGGAACTATTTTTGGATGGGAAATAAGAATTTTGGAAAAAAAATCTAAAATGTGAGGCTGTTGAGAGGTCAGTCACACAGCACTAAGATGAAAAGTGAATCTGTAAGTCTGACTTTTATTTGATACCTTACCAATTACTGGTGTATGTTAGCTACTTATTCCAACGGGAAGGTTGCATAGAGTCAGTTCTGTTAAGGTCCAATCTGTTGCATGCACTAAGCACAGAGAAACCCATGCTCTATGTTACTGTTCGATGCTGGTACTCAAATTAAAAGTCAGTACGAGATGCCGTTTTGTTCTCATCCGTGTTTCCCTGACAAAAAATGGATATAAAGGTTAAAGAAGATAAATTGTTTAGGGGTGTAATTTGGCAGGCACGGAGAGAGAAATGAAACGTTTCTGCTAAACCGGCAGTAACCGCCACGCCTTGGTTGTGCCGCGAGGATCTCCCAAAGAGCCGAGCGGCAGGGGAGGCAGCGGGCAGAGACCACTTTTGCCCTCTCAGACTTTCTTCTCTGGCTTCAGTATAGCAACGAGCGTAGGGAAGCTGCGGTGCCCGCCCAGTGCCTTAAGGAAGACTGTCCTACATAAATATGTTTTAAAGAGGCCCTTTTCACTCCGCCGCGCTGCGGGTCGGCGCTCCGCTTCCCGCGCGGCGCCTCAG